AGGAATGCCTGGATTTTTGTTTTGTTGATTTCAGTAGGAGAGTCAACGAAGAAATTTAATATTTACTAAAGAAAAATTTTAAAATATAGGGATTGGACTTCACCTAAGTTTCCCATAATTGTTGTCTTTAAAATGCATTTTTAGTGTGAGTCATCAGGTCCCAGAAAGTGTTGAGCTCTTCATCTCTTTGTGCCTTTCATCCACTTATGCCGTGTGTCTCATTCTCTCCTACTCCAGCTCATATCCATCACATGCCTCTGTAATGACACAAATGTAAAAGTCTGCTTTTTTTTTTTGCTGGTGCAAGAGGCGATGCCTATTTGAAAACTTAACAACCCTGAAGAGCTTAGATAGGACCAAACTTTCTGTAGTCATAGTCAGAATAACTAGTATGTATGTACTACTTTATTAATCATAATAACCATTGTTTACTAAGCTGTGGTAGGTACTTTATACTTATAACATTTGATTCTCAAAATAACTCAAGATACTATCCCTGTTTTACAGTTGAGGAAACTGAGGCTTAAAGGGTTTTAAAGTTATGTCCAAGTCCATACCAAGAAATACAGGGAACAGTAAGCATGGTAAAATAAGGTGAATGGCATTCATTCGTTGTACACAAGGTGGTTTTCACATGTGTTATCTTATAAAAGACCTGTATGTCAGGTGTCATCTTCATTTATTAGTTTGGGGCTCTGAGGCTCAGAGAAATGAGTTGCCCAAGATGAGGGCCAATAAATGCAGAGCCAGACCTGCAACAGGACATAGTCCTTGACTTTAAAGGTTTTGTTCTTCCCAGTGTCTTTCACCACCTCTTAGTAGAGGTAAGGGATGGTGAATTCAATGGGTAGCTGTCTTTTTTTTTTTTTTTTGTGGTACACGGGCCTCTCACTGCTGTGGCCTCTCCCGTTGCGGAGCACAGGCTCCAGACGTGCAGGCCCAGCGGCCATGGCTCACGGGCCCAGCCCCTCCGCGGCATGTGGGATCTTCCCGGACCGGGGCACGAACCCGCGTCCCCTGCATCGGCAGGCGGACACTCAACCACTGCGCCACCAGGGAAGCCCTGGGTAGCTGTCTTATATTCAAAAGGTGCCACTGTATCTCACCATCGTAGCTTCTCCCTGTCCTGTGCATCCTCGGCTAGGAATAGAGGTGGCAGTGGACACTGGGGAAGTAAAATGTTAGTGTTATTCCTATGTCTTGTTACCTCCACACACATATGTATGTATCTAGTACTGACACACATCGTTGGCTTGTGAGGGAAGAGATGAATGGATGACTGGAGCATTGGATAGTCGGGTGAGGGGCAGAAGAGGCAAGATGAACTGAGAAAAGGATGGTATGGGAGAGCTTCCAGTGTATCCTGGAAGCTTCCCAGGTTTGTCCCAGACAGAGAAAGATAAAGTCCGAGAGAGTGAGCGTGCTGGGAATGGAGATAAGAATCATAAGACCACTGTCTTGGTCTACCTCATGAGCTCATTTAGTGTTTGGAGAGCAGGTACCCAATCTGAAAAATAATCCCTGACCTGGTACGTATTAAAGGTATGATCACATTTCAGAAGGTTTAATGATAATTTTTAGAAATGAGTTACTTTTGTCTCATGGACTTACTTGTTTTCTTCCTGTTTCCTGCCCTCCCTCCCTCCCTTCCTTTCTTTCAAGAAGTTTTATTAAATACATACACAGTTTCATGTACATGTATGTATCCCATCTAGAAATTCCCCA